TTTCTATCAAACAGTGGTTTCCTATATTTTTGTGGATATTATTATTCAAATGATACACATATTACTGTAGACATACCTAATCAATTAAAAATAATACAGGGTGTTCAAATAAACGGGAATCAAAATGGTATCGTTAATTAAAGGCTACCCTGTATATATAGGCAGAAATAAATGTTTATTTTAAATAATTTGCAATAAATGAATCATGTTATAATTTTAATATATCATACATTTTTGATCCAATAAGCAGAATATCATGCTGTCTGCGGTATGTTTTTGTGAAGTCCTGTTGTGAATAAGTTTATCGTGAACTGTAGCCAAACAAAAGTCACATAACTTAATAAATCTGCCCTTTTCTACATTATAGGCAATCACTATGATTACATGAATTGATCTGTGGATTCAATTCATGTAAATATTGAACGCTTTCTAAGATCTGTCGAAATATTTCGCATGAAATGAAATACTCGATGCAATCCATGGGATCTCCCGATTGTCTCTCAAATACTTGTCGTTTGACTTCAAGTATATGCCGAAGATTTTGTGAACACAACTCCATCTGAATGTAACCAAAATCCGGTTCACGCCATGAGTGGTAATATCTGACCACATATTCTGATCTAACATTCACTAGATTTTGCACTTCTTTTTCATCAAAATCTGAATATTTATATAAAAGTAAATTAAAATTATTTTACAACTAAATTGTTTTAATTACCATTAATTTCAATGCGTTTGACGGCAAATAACTGTCCATCAGATCTGTGTTTCACTCGCAATACTGTCCCAAAACCACCCGATCCTATGACCCCCAACTCATTAAATGATTTATCATAAGATTTATTAAACCGAAGTTTATAATCAATTTCAATGCGATGTGTTTTGTATGTAATCTGGTATTCATTGGCGTAGAAATCACTAAAATTATTATAATTTGTTTCAAACAATTCATTTCTGCGTATATTATATAACTTGGTGTTTGTCAACACAATTGTGGGTTTTATATTATAATTACAATTGGAGTCAATTTGTGGTAAATCTATAAAATAATTGCTGGTTTTTAATTGTTTAGGTATGTCTACAGTAATATGTGTATCATTTGAATAATAATATCCACAAAAATATAGGAAACCACTGTTTGATAGAAAATAAGTGGTATAATGCGAGTAATTAATAGTTTTTATGTCATATATCGTAAGTATCGGATTCGGAGTTAATATTCTCTTTGTAACGATATTGTGTCCCAATTGATGGTCACTATTGTCACCCCAACTGAACACAAGTCCCTCACAAGTGATGGCAAATGAAAACCAATTATAGCTATAAATTGATTGAATTTTGGGATTATTTGCAAATTGTATTAGAATTGGTTCACTAATACGAATATTTATTTGGTCTCCACAACCAATCTGTTCCTTACTATTACACCCCCACCCATACACCTGTTAACTGGATGTGAGGGCCAGTGAGTGATGGGAACCACAACCGATTTGTTGGACATCTTTGTCGTCGAAATACGATATTGTCTCGGCTTTTGAATAAACCCCTTCTGGTGTCACATCTCTACCCAACTGTCCCCACATATTGGGACCCCAACTGAATATATGGTTCACACTATTCATAGCCAACACAAAGTCTGATCCAATAATAAATGTCTGAATTTTTTTATGACATAATTCCGGTATAAGTTGTGGTATATCAATGGAGTCTTCGTGACCCAATCCAAGACGTCCATCACTATTATCTCCCAATCCATACACCATATCATCGGTGGTTACGAACAGAATATTATGTAAAACATATAATTTTGCATCAAAATAGTCATACTTAAAAACATGAAATAATTTAATTTTTTGTTTCATATTTGAATCGATTTTATCACAAATATTAAACTTCTCTAAAATTGAACACATTTTCAAATTAAAAAATTCTATTTTTATTAAAAATTCGATATTTTATATTAATTAATAATAAATTATTTATCATTTAATCCTAATTAATTTGTTTTTAAATACTGCTAAGAATCACATAAAATAGCAAAATAATTATGTATATACTCTACTAGTATACAGTATATTATTGCTTAATAATATTTTGACAATTAACAAAAATAATCATTTATTAAATAAAATATATTTAAAATTAATTTTAGTAATTTAAAAATAATTTACTGAACAGTATTTTACTACTTGAATGCAATTGTTGTTCACAAATAGATTGTGTTATTATAGCAACAGATATGCAATCAATTCACTCGTATTGTACTAAATATACTTCAAATAAGGCGACCAAACCTTCCGGTTTCACCGGGAGAATTGAGGTATATCTCCCGTCTCCCTGTCGACTGTCAACCTTGAGATTAGTTTCACCCGGACATAAATTACCGATTTTTTAAACTACAGGTAATATATTTATTAAGTTAAAATCTAATTAAATCAGAGATATTAAAAATCAAATTTATTATATTATTTAAAAGTTAAATATTTTTTTTAACTTATTAATTTAATTTATAAAATTTCAAATTTATAATTATACCCTGCATATCTACTATTTTTTAAACAATTATTGTCATTAATACTAAGTTTCAACGCACACACAGTCAACCTAATCGCACCGGTAGTCCAGTCATTCACTTCTTTCGCTTTACATTCAAATGCTTTTTCGAGTGATTAACGAGTGAGTGCTGGTAAGCCGTCCTAAACTCACAGCCCGGCCATTCGCACCGTAAGCTTTTAGGGGCGACCTTACCGGCCGACTCGTGTGCTTTCAAATGGTTTGTCAGTAATTTCCTATCATTGGTGCCGTACTCACAGCCCGGCCAATGGCACCGGTATTTCTTGACACCGGTGTGCGACTACGAGTCAAATAATAGTCGATTTCGACAGAAAACACGGACTACGAGTACGCAGTGGTCGCCGGGTTTGGACCCATCGTATGGACAGACTTCGCGTGGGTTGGGTGCGCATCGCATCAAGGTTCAAAAACCAGACCGACTACTGGGGGCTGGCACACTATCAGCTACCTGCACCCACCCGGCACCGGCATACGGATTTGCCCATTCAAAGCCTACATGGATATAACCTCTTGAGCGCGACTGCACTCGAAATGGTTGCCAGACATGGATGTGCTTTGTTTGCGTGAACTCGAGGGCTGTACGCGCGGGTCGGACCCACGTATGGTCGACAGTGTCCAACCAGTACGTCATATCAGGCACAGGGTGTGCGTGCGTGTTTTCCGGCCATATCATTGAAAGTACTATGAATTTGCAGGCTTATTTTGGCAAATTGTGCCAATATGAACATGGTACTCCGGAGAATCACTAATTCGTACGCAAATACTTTAGACACGGTTTCGTTGGCAACACGTGTAACGTAGTCTTCATCGGTGTTCACCACTTGAATGGGCGTTACGTACGCATTGATGAGCCCCTCATTTGGCCCCTAATTCATTGCGAATGAGATTAATAGTTAATGTTTTGTATGATTTTTAGTGAAACACGTGATTATTGTAGACTTACGGCTGAATCTGTGATCCGATTGATGCGAATGTTTCGCAGATAAGCACCGGTATTTCAACACTGACTGTCAGAGTCGTGGGCGCCGGTAGTGTTCATTGTGTTGACCAGAATTACCAAAACCATGAGAACTATTAAGTCCTTAAAAATATAATTAAAACTTAATTTTTTGGGGAATAATACTTACCCTGCATATCGAGTCAAGTTAAGCTAACTAGAATTTAACATTAAGTTCACTAATAATGAGACAGGTACTTTTGGTTAAATTTTCTAAAAACTTCTATAAGAGGTTAACTTATTTTAAGTGAAACTCATTAAACAAAATATATTATATGAATGCAAATGTAGCTTGTGCAAATTTGTTTCTAAAATATGATTTTGTTTGCAACGGATGTCATAATTAATAACAAATTCAATGAATCGTCAAATAGTTTCTCACAAAACAAAACACATATTCATTGAAATTGTATTCAAAACAATGCGATTACGTTACAAATAACTGTAATATTTAAAAACATTTAATTATTCAAGGTTAATTAAAATTTTTATAATCAAATTTCATATCTACATATCACAGATTAATAGTATTAGGCATTTGAATCTACCAGAGCTGATTGATGTTCTTTGAACATTACATAGCATAATGTTAAAGCAATAGCACTGAATATCAGTGAACTTACTTTTAGCTAGCTTTAGCTCGCACCGTAAGCTTTAGGGGTGACCTTACCGTCCGACTCGTGTGCTTTCAAATTGTTTGTTATGTATTCCCTATCATTGATGGCGTATTCGCATCATTTTCTCAAATATTAAAAATTCATATGTCTATAAATGTTTATAATAAAATATTTTCAGATTATAAGTTTATATTCTATACATAATGTTAAATAGTAATCATAATCACTAACTTGTATTTGTAATACTGATTGTAAAAGTAAATTAACAAATAATTCAGTTACATAACTATATAGTATTGGAATGAGTTATGGATTACTGTATTACTAATTATAACAAAATTTATTAAATGATAAATTATAAAATCAATTTTGTTTAAAATAATTTTAAACTTTTTCGCAGTTTTTGTGTCAATGAAAGTGGTGTCACATCTCGTCTGTTAACAGTTGTCAAGAATTGATAGAAAAATTTATTTTCATTGGTATTAATTCTATTCAATGTTTCGTCAAATTCCGTGCGATTCGTGAGAATATCTCTATCGATAGACCACTCCTTATAATTCTGCAACACTTCACTACATCCCGGCCTATGATTCCAATTCTGTAAAACCATTGTCGATAATATTTTGTATAATTTTTGCACTGGTGAATTTAGAATCCTATTGGGTGAGTATTTAAGGGAGCTATATTGTCATAAAGATTTCAATAATTAAAACTTTAATTTATGTTATATATATTGTATTGTACAGTAATTTCAAAAGGGGTGATCCACAAAGTACATACGTACGCCTAGGAGGGGGGTCATGCCAAAGCGTATCCCCATGTTAAACTCATATGTATGATGGGCGTGTAGGGGGGAGAGGGATCTATTTTTGACCAAAATTTTGCGTACGTACTTTGTGGATGACGGCAAAGTAAATCATATTTAGTGAATATTAATAGGAAACGGTCAATTGACCTAACGACCAATTGACCTAATTTTTCACAAACTTGGACTTTGTACCTAGATCAACTCAGAATTTAAAAAATAAAATTTTCGTAAAAAATTTTCCATAAATTACGGTTCGATATTTACGTAATTTATGGACAAAAATTATTTTTATTGTAAATTTTGGATTCAGCATAACGTTATCTATCTTATAAAATTATTTCCATCCATAAATAACGAACTTTATATTTTAGGTCAATTGGTCGTTAGGTCAATAGACCCGCACCCATATTAATAATCACAGTATTAAAATTCACTAAATACTACATTATGTTTTATTTTAAATTTATTACATTACCTTAGCTTATTTGGTTCAATAAGTATGACTTTTACAACAAATATTTCTCCACCAATTAGGCCCAGACTATAAATATCAGACTTAAGGCCGTATTTTTCACCCTGACCAATTTCAGGGGCCATATATCTCATGTCCCCAATATCTGCCGTATGTTTACGTGTAGTCCTGTAGTGAATGCGTTTGTCGTGAACTGTAGCCAAACCGAAGTCACATAACTTAACAAATCTACCGTTCCTTACGTTGTGTGCAATCAATATATTGTCGGGTTTGAGGTCTCTGTGAATCATCTGTGGATCCAATCCATGCAAGTATTGAACGCATTCTAAGATCTGTCGAAATATTTCACATGAAATGAAATACTCGACACAATCCAAGGGATCTCCTATTTGTCTTTCAAATACTGTATGTTTGACTTCAAGTATATTCCGTAGACTTTGTGAACACAACTCCATCTGAATGTAACCAAAATCCGGTTCAGTCCATGAGTGGTAATATCTGACCACATATTCTGATCTAACATTCACCAGATTTTGCACTTCTTTTTCATCAAAATCTGAATATTTATATAAAAGTAAATTAAAAATTATTTTACAAATAAATTTGTTTAATTACCATTAATTTCAATGCGTTTGACGGCAAATACCTGTCCATCATATTTGTGTTTCACTCGCAATACTGTCCCAAAACCACCCGATCCTATAACCGACACCTCATTAAATGATTTATCATAAGATTCATTAAACCGAAGTTTATAATCAGTTTCAATGCGATGTGTTTTGTATGTTATTTGGTGTTTATTAGCGTAGAAATCAATAAAATTCTTATACCCTGTTGAAATCAATCGATTTCCGTATATATGATATAACTTGTTGTTTGTCAACACAACTGTGGATTGTGTATAATTAGTATTAAACGAGTCAATTTGTGCTAAATCAATAAAATAATTTTTTTTTTCAATTGTTTTGGTATAACATTAAGACTTGAATAATCTGATCCACAAAAATATATGAAACCATTGTTTGATAGAAAATACGTCATACGAGTGCACGAAGTAATAGTTTGGATACCATTTATAGTAGGTATCAGTTTAGGACTCAATATCTCTTCTTTTTGTTCATTCACTATATTGTGTCCCAATTGATGGTAACTATTGTCACCCCAACTGAACACAAGTCTTTCATAAGTGATGGCAAATGAATGACTATTATAGCAATAAATTGTTTGGATTTTGTGATTATTAGGGAATTGTATGAGAATTGGTTCACTAATACTATCATTTTGTTTGTCTCCACAACCAATCTGTCCCTTAATATTACGTCCCCACCCATAAACCTGTCCATTGGATGTGAGGGCCAGTGAGTGTTGAAAACCACAACTGATTTGTTGGACATCTTTTTCATCGAAATACGATATTCTCTCGGCTTTTAAATAAGCCCCTTTTGGTGTCACATCTCTACCCAACTGTCCCCACATATTATGACCCCAACTATATATTTGGTTCACACTATTAATAGCCAACACAAATCTATAACCAATAATAAATGTCTGAATGTTTTGATGACATAATTCTGTTATAACTTGTGGTGAATAAATGGACTCGTTGTGACCCAATCCAAGACATCCATTACTATTAGATCCCAATCCATACACCATATCATCGGTGGTTACGAACAGTATATTATGATTTAAGTAATCCAAAATCCAATCCTTAAAAACATGAAATAATTTAATTTCTTGTTTCAAATTTGAGTCAATTTTATCACAAATTGTAAATTTCTCTAAAATTGAACACATTTTCAAAAAAAAACAAATTGAATTTGTATTAAAAGCACTTTATTTTAATGTTAATTAATATAGAATTATTTATGACTAATTAAAATTAATTAGTGTTTAAATACTGTTAGGAATCACATAAAATAGCAAAATAATTATTTGTATGCGTATACTGGTATACTGTATATTATTGTTTAATAATATGTTCAAAATTAACAAAAATAATCATTTATAAAAATAAATTTTATTTAAATGTAATTTTATTATTAGTTTACTGAACAGTATTGTAATAAATGAATGCAATTGTTGTTCACAAATAGATTGTGTTATTATAGCAACAGATATGCAATCAATTCACTCGTATTGTCTTAATATGTCTTAAATGCCAATCCATTGTATATTATATGAAATACTTTTGTTTAACTTTTGAATTCAGAGATTATATAAATTATAAGATATTATAACAAAGAGAGGGCTGGGGAGACAGGGAAAAGACACTGTTCATATAGTGGACAAACATATTAATATACTAAAACATGGGTAATTTAATCATTGCATTAAAAAATGTATCATACTCATTTACACTTATATAACATTTTTTTTATATTGCAACACTACGAGTGCGTTGGACCGACTTGTGGTAAGCGCGTGAAACATGCAATACCTAGATCACTGGCCTGAAAGCAATTGTCTATTTGGCTTTACTTACCGTACTTATCGCACGGGTAGTGCCCGCTTGCGTGGCCTCCACTCCGACCAAACCTACACCCGAGTTGTGATTATTAGGGGATTTTCAGAGGTAGGCAATGAGGTTTAGGCACACAATAATAAGTATAAAAGTATTTATTTCAACACATATACTGTGTGATGGTTAATACATGAATTGTAGTAAAAGTATGGGATTTAAGGCTAAAACAGTGGCTATTACTGCTCTCTCCGTGACAGAGAGTGTCGGTTCAAAAGTGAGCCCCGAGTGCGCGACTGTATAGGCTTTTTATGCACTACAAGGGAATAGGAGGGTTAGTTTGCATACCAAAGGGATTAACGTTAGCCAATGGTTACACAACATTGAAGTCCCATTACATGGTATAGCATACGGGCGACTGCAGTGTCAAAGGATAGGTCAATCGGCCAATAGGCCGATCGACCGTTTGGCATACAATGGTAACACTGCATACCCCTACCGTTAAATATTAGCCCCCTGTTAGCCAAAAATCTACATGATAAGTTTGTATAAAACGTAAATGTAATATAATATTAAATATAAACATATAATATTAGGAAGGTAAATAAATTGGGTAAATATACTCAAAATTGATTATATAATTATATGATTAAAATAAATGTATAATAAAAATGTCATAAAAATGCATGTCATACAGTCACATAATACGGTATAATGTATAAAATAGTCAAAAATTATATTTTATAACACTATTAATTATCACATTATTATAATTATTTAATGTTCCAGGTGAATGTGCATTAGCGATATGGGTGAGCATGGTTAATTCATATCAATTATAAACAAATATTTCTATTAAAATTACTGTAAAATTTAGTTGTTTTGTGCTAAATGTATGAAAATTTAAAATAAAATATAAGTCAAAATTATATTATTTATGCATTTATTGAGAGGAAAGGTAAGTGAGAGCAGTGGTCAGTGATAGCATATGAGAGCACAGGTATGTGTAAACAATACAGGTGTTGAACACATCTTTTCACACACTTTTGGCTCAAACTGTGCACTCATTTATACTACAATTGCATTCATTTATCATTACGTCGTCGGACTGAACAGTCGATTGACTATATTTTGTAATCATTTGTTGGGTTTTTATCATAATTTTTGATTTAAGTTATTATTAATTCATTAAAATAACGGGTACTTCAGTGGACAGGCGTTCAAAAGAAAGGGTATGTTATGTGTTATAAACTCTATGTCCATGAATGCTATTGTCATTGATTTTATGACTTTAATACAATTTCTATCAGTTTTAGGTCTCTATTAATTGGACACTCATTTGGACTCAAAGTCTATGTGTTTGCCATAAAGTGGTCTTAAATTACGGTATTTTTGGTTCAAATGTTTATTTGTTTTGAAAATTAAAACTTAAAATTTTATAAATAGATTTGGAGAAGGAAAGCGATTACAGCATAAACACTGCATTTTGGGACCACCGGGAGGTAGTAATTTGGAGGCAATATCTAACTGTAAGCCTGTTTTACATGCATTTTGTTGGCAATCATTTTCAAATTAATTTGTTCCTTTTTGTAGGGACGGGTAGTTTTACACATATTGTGTGTGGCACCGGGAGCTCAGGCATACCATACATACTGTACGCAATAGGATTGTATGATAGGCTTAAACCAAAGGCTATTTGCGTTAAAAGTATTAAATTACTATTTATTTGTATTATATCTATAGGACTAGTATTTCGGGGAACTGGAGGTCTTATTGGGAAGGCTTTCCTCACCACACTCTCACACATACATAGCGCCTGTATCTTGAAGTCATTTGCAGTCAATTGATCTCACATTCACCACATTTACGGCTTTCAGAGCACCGACACTACTGCACGGAAATTACAGCACTGGTAGCCGCGAACAGTAGCCCACATAGCGATCGGTGTGTGATACCGGCGCCCGACATATACAGCGTGTTTCACCAGTAGCGGATAGAGGTTCCGGCTCATATCTCAAAAACTACATGTAATAGCTTTAAAATATAAACGGGGTCTTAAAGTTAAAGGTATGGCAAATTTTTTGACATATCGATTA